TGCATTACATAAGCTCATCCAGAGAATATCCGTTTTGTTAGTCTCCAAAGATCTGCATTTATTCATTCCACATAAGGGATGTTTCACTTCCTTAGCGATCATCTTGCTTTCTTCCTCCCGCATCCCATCCATGCTTCATATCCCTCGTGTGCCAGCTTCCTGTTGCATTTTCTCCGGTTTTCCCTCCTAATCTTATTTTCTTACCTTTTCTTCTCACACCACATATAACAAGTAGCAAATCAGCAGAGGATAACCTTGATGTTAAGCAACAAAAATGAAACAAAAGCAACAATATGCACATTAAAATTAAAATAAATGAATAAACATATTTTCTGTCACAGCCTCTGGCACTGAACAACATACCCAAGCTAGTCCAATCAGAATGCTTTATTCTGGTCATGTGACAGCAATGTCCTTCTGCATGGCTCTGTTTGTGACAAGCATGGTGAGTAAGGGGGTGGGGGGAAGCAACCTAAGCAATGAAACGGTGATTAAGAGAAGGGCAAAATACAAAAAAAGAGACCATTTTGAAGAAACAAGAAACTTGAAGAGCAGACTATTATGAAAAAATGGTTTAGTTGTGAAAGGAGGAGCAGGAGATGAAGCTGAGAGGATTTGATAAAGACAAAGCAAGAAAAACAGTAATGATAAGCAGGGGAGAAGGCTCAGATTATGGTTTTGAAAAAAAAAAAAAATCACGAGTAAGTGAAAGCAGTTTGGTGAAGACTGTAACTCAGGGGGCTTTTAATGACTCTCTGGGGAGCTTTATCTTTCCTATAATGAAATGTTACAAAATATAGATGGTGTGATCACCGTTTGCTTAAAAGACAAAAGGATGTCCTGTAACTTTATTAAATAAATGCCATTATTGCCAATATAAAACTGACTGTGATAAAAATAAATGCCAAATATCTGAAGGAATTTCAAGGCAGCTCTTGAGATAAAGCTAAGACTTCTGTAGTTGTTTTTACAAGATATGAGCAAGAATATTTGAATTTTTAGTTTATACAATTTCAACGCTCAACTTACAAAATGTTAAAAAAAGACACATTTTTGATTTCAGACTCTCACAGTCCCAAATCTCCCCCCAGTGAAGCCATTGTTTCAGTTTTATCACATAAAATGAGGTTTGAAGCAAACTATCAGCCTCTAATGAAAGCATGCACATCCCAATCATTAGGTTGGCAGCATTCACCACCAAAATATTTATCTAATCATTGACTATTTAACTCAGGGCATCCAGGGCATCCAACATGCACTGCCAAATCCTCTCTTCTAGATCTTATCACAAACATACCACATGAATACAGTGGATTTGATATTTTTACAAATGATCTAAGCGACCACTGTGTAGTTGCTGCCATTAGAGATACAAAACTGCCTCGTGTCAAACCTAGAACAAATCTAAAACAGAATATGAAGCATATTCGTGAACAAGCCTTTCTTTGGGATCTGTTCCACTTTGACTGGCATCGCATATCATTAATTGACTATGTGAACCTTGCTTGGAACTATTTTTATAATAGTTTTATTCATTTTTGCAAATAAACACACTCCACTTTGCCATTTCAGAATAAAAGGGCTGGGATAGCCCCTGGTTGACTTCTGAGTTAGCTGACCTCTTGGACAGGAGGGACCAGCTTTGGGCAACAGCAAGACAGTCTGTTTCAGACACCCATTGGTTGCAATTACGTCAATTACGGAATTGTTGTACAGCTTCCATTAAAGCTGCAAAACAAAATTACTATTTATTTCAAACCACCAAAAATCTAAATGATCCTAAGAGCTTCTGGAAAACTATTAAATATTTTGATGGCAACACTCACTCATCTGATCTGCTACCACAATTATTTGTTGACTCTGCTACTGTGTCAAATAAGCACGAGATGCTAAATTGTTTCCAACATTTTGTTGCCTCGAGTTCCTTGTTTGATACAGTTTCTAATGGTAAATCTCCTACTCCACCAACAAGTCAAAGGTCAGTAAACCATACATTCTCTTTTTTTACTGTTCTCTGTCAGTGAGGTTACTAAACTGTTAAAAGATCTGGATACTAGAAAATCTGCAGGCCCTGATGACATCCCTCCTTATTTTTCAAGTCTAGCTGTACAAATTATAGCAGAACCAGTGTCATACATTTTTAATCTGTGTATACAACATAATACTGTCCCAGATGCCTGGAAAACAGCTTCTGTGCTACCATTACTGAAGGGAGGAGACCCCACTATACTGAACAATTATCAACCAATTTCCAAACTCTGTATTTTAGTTAAGGTTTTAGGGGCCGAACTAGTGACCTCTGCACCACCACTCCCCCTAATAATCTCAATTTACATAGCATTATTAAAATCGGTCTGATGTATCTGATATCCAGATGTTTCTGGAATTAATTCATTTATTTTATGTGGGTCAGAAAAGGTGAGTGACAGATGCAATACTCATTGACAGTCAAGACGACAAGGGTTCATAGCAGACACAGAAAAAGAATGAGTAAAAATCTGAGATGACTGTGCAGGTTATCTCCTCACTCCTCAAGGTGCGTGTATAAGGTGGCTTGGGTGTGTGTGTGCGGTGTGTGTGTGTGTGTTTGAGAGAGAGAGACAGAGAGAGAAAGGTAAACCACTATGAGAAGGAGGATTTTTTTTTCTTCTATCCTTTATTTATCCAGGTAGTCTCATTGAGCCACTAGAACTCATTTTCAAGAGAGACCTGTTTAAGGAGCAGATGGTGGGAGTTAAGGGCCTTGCTCAGGGGCCCAGAGTGGGGCGAATGAGGGTGGAGGCAGGTGTGGGTGTTTCACCTTTTCCACCCACATTTTGATGTTGACGGTACCGGAAGTTGAACCTGCGACTTTCCAGTCACAGGCCCATCTTCTAACCTCTGCGCCACCACTCCCCCAGAATGCAGAGAATAAAGAATGCAGAGTCCTGAGACATCTCTCTGATTAAGAACTTTCAGCTGACACATTAATTAAATATGGAGAAGCTTCAGAGCTCTTACACACACGCACACACACACACACACACACACACAGCTTTCCATTCACTTCAACACATTATGCTCTGCGGTTAGCTTTGTATAATTCACCAGAAGAGGTCATTTACTGATGGTTAAATCATCACTCATACATCTGTGTTGCATTTGTATTACAGTGGGGCCCCTTCATAAATATAGTGCACCGCCAATAATTTGTTTTTCATTTATCATCATATCTGATAGTGTAGCACCAAGCTGTATCAAAAACTAAACTTTCTAAACAGTAAATCAAACTAATAGGATGTAAATTAATTTACATTGAAGACAAAAGTTTAACAAGTTTCCAATCTGGGTATGTTTATAATTAAGACGAGATCATCATATGGCAAGAGAAACTGATTAAAATTTAAAACGTGCATATTGTACTCTACTGACAATTTTTAAATAGAAACATAGGCCAGATGTATGACTTAAGCAAACAGAGTGCACCAGATACTGCAGCAAAACCACCCCATATAAAAAAAAGTTTGCTTTTTCCAGAACACATAGGAAAACTTTCAGTAAGTTTCTTCTTGATCTTTAATAATTTCATTTTAGAGACGTTTCTCTCAACAAAATCTTAATGATCAACATACTGTAACATCGTGTTAAAATGTTAAACATGTACTCGATTTTCAATGCAGCACACTGAACTTAGAAGTGTTAAAAAAAAAAAAAAGAAAGAAAAAAATTACCTGAAAGTATCGTTTTGAAAGACATCTGCTGTATTTTTATTCTAAGATGTAAATATCTGAACATATTCAAGTTCAATGTATTGGTGCACTGAATGTGTTCTGATAAACTGTATTAATTTGATAGATTTATGTTCAGGCTGCTGTTTAATACACCATATTATATTACATTATTATTGTTTAGCATTTATCTTAGATTGTTTTAATACTTTATATTTTTGCTATTTTTGGGTGTAACTGCGTATATATATATATATATATATATATATATATATATATATATATACATATACATACACACATAAACACAGCAAGGAGCAGAAATGTACTTATTCATCAATTATACTGTAACAACTGAAAATAGAAGTTCTAAAATAATCAAAAATAACTTTTAACATGTTTATATTTTGTGATTATGATAATTTTACGATGTGACATACTTTGAATTTTAAGTTGGAAGACAAAAGCTGATCGGTGCAGCTGGACAGCAAAGGGTTAACCCTTCACGAAGCTGCTTCGGCACTGAGCAGAAATGTGTGAGTGGCAGAGAGCCGCAGGTGGCAGAGAGCGGAGATCATGACAGGCTGAAGAGGGATCTTCTCCCTGAACCTGTGGGCTACACAAAGGTGCAGCAGGTGCTAAATAGTTTAAAATAATTTATTTTAAATAAACAATCCATGCCACTCATGCAGCTCATCCATCAATCAACTGATTGTGTGTCATGTCCAATCTGACTTTGAAAAACCGCAAAAGAGCAAGTCCGCGAAAGTCGAACCGCGAAGTAGTGAGGGACTACTGCATATATAAATGCTGACATTTGAAAATTATTAGTAATTATGCATGGCAACTTTTTCACAGTTTAACAAAGTAACGATCATCAGCTTTTTGTTTACGCTGAGCATCCATAAATAGCTGCATAAACCATTGGACTATTTTTTAAGCACCTAAAATTTTCAGTTCATACACATACTTTCCAGGATTGATTTTCATTTTTGAATGTTTTTATCTCTCCAAAAAGTAATATATTAACACAATCTACAGCTAGATTGTTTTGTCTCAACAAATTTGATTTTGATTAAGAAATTGCTTCAAATCAAGCATATACCTGATGTGTTTAATCCTAAAGAGTGTGGAATTATCCTAAATGTAAAACAAGTACATTAAATGGTATTTCCCAACAAACAGAACACCAGTCCAACTATTTAGAAACCCATCAGGAATCCTCCCAAAGTCAACAGATGCTCCTTCGGGTATGAACTTCACTTCTTCACACATGCACACACGGCCTCTCACCTCCACAAAGATGAAACACGGAATGATGGAGTAGCTGCGCAAGGTGTTGTTGGTCGCCATCTTGTCTCCTGTCGGGAGAAGTGTGCTCTCAGGATTCTCAGCAGCTCACTCTGCAATGACAAAAACATCAGCTCATTACCACAGAATAGCAGTAGCAAAAATCATTTTATATAGAGTGTATTATTTTTCAGACACCTTATAGAAGCTGGGAAATTATGAACAATCTTCATATTGACAAAGCAACTCCAACTACATTTGTTGTTATGAGCAATTATTTAATTTCAAGGGAAGGGAAGTGAGCTCTTGAAAAATAATAAAAAAATAAACATCAGTAAGAGACTGAAACGGCGTCTTCTCACTTACATGCCGCACCGTTTTAAATTTCTGGCATTCAATCAATATAATGGTTGTAGAAGTTTACCATTGGAAGGTTTCAAACATGTTTAAGAAATGCCATAAATGTCAGAATATGCTGTAGTGATTTTTGATTTATGGGTATTAATCAAAGCTGCGACCCCCTGCAGGTATTAAATCATCGTGTGTTAGGCAGTTAGAACAGCCTTTCATTCCTCATTAGGGAATAAAATTCTTATTTGAGCGTCTGTCTTCTTACTGCGCAGCCCTGAATAATGAATGCTGTAAAAAGAAGAATAAAGTGCCTCATCAACCTCATCTGAACCCTTTTTGCCACCAAATTAAAAATATATGTATATTTAAAGACATACCACAGGCAACTACAAGATCCTGACAGTGATCAACCTGTGGAGGGACCTTTATCTTTGTCCCCCTATTTTGATGCGTAAAATTTGTGTTTCACAGCAGATGTTGCTCATGTGAAATACAGGGAGGGTGTAACGGAACACGACAGGATAATTTTAATCAGAGAGCTACAAAAATTACACACAAGCAACTATAGGGTGCCTGGGGGAGCAGATGGGGGTTAAAGGCATTACGCAAGGACCTAGAGTAAGGTAAATCAGGGTGGAGGCAGATATGAGTGTGTCACCTTTCCCGCCCACATTTGATGTTGTCTGGGGATTTAAACTGGCAACCTGGCGACAGGTTTGCCTTCTCCAACCTCTGCACCACCACTCCCCTACATCTTAAAATAAAGACTTTTTTTGGGGGGGGGGGGGTGACAGAGACACAGCCATGTGCTGTTTGCACTGACAGTTTTACAGTTTTAGAGCAGGAGTAGGGGAGAGAGCTGTACCAACATTTTTTTATTTTTTTATTTTTTTTGGGGGGGGGGGAAAGACGTCTGAGACGTGCGTTGTTTGTACCGACAGTTTTCAAATCGGGGGGTTCGGTGTGAGGGTTTAGCATGAGAGAGGGAAGAGGCTGTCTTTAGCTTTTAAGCTAGTGCACCTGCATTGCCAGTCGCTAGTTTAGTGTTACGTCAGTGCCGACAGGTGTTTTTTTTTTTTTTTT